ACCCAGGACGCCAAAGAGTTTGTTGGAGGTGGCGCAGGTCTCAAATGCACCTTCACAGCCTCTCGAATCAATATCTAGGCCCTCGAATGTGGCACCATTTTCTGGTCACGTTTTCTTCTTATGGTGGGTACTGCATTCCAGGGTCCTTCTTAGGGGAGGTTCGCCTAGAAACCAGAGGAGCGTAAACTCTAAACCCATCAACTCTAAGCCTACAAGCCATGCACACCTATCCCGTCCCCACAGGGTCCTGAGTACCCACATGATAGGAAGAACGGTTTGAATAGTAGGAATCACTACAATGGTTTGGAAGTATTCCCAATATAAAGGTACTGAGGACCCTGTGTGGAATCATCAGCCATAAGTTCTATACCCACAAGCCCTAAACTCATAAGACACGTAGATCCAGGCATACAGGTTTAGGATGTAGGACACACGTTTGTAAAGGTCTAAAGCGCTTTCGGGATTGACATCGCCGCTTAGTGAGCTTGTTGTGGATGGGCCCAAGCCCAAGCCTCTACCCGAATCATACACACAACAACGACGGACGGTTCGTAACCTCACCCCGAGCCCACCCCAACCTCAACCCTAAACCCTACACCCTAAACTCTAAACCCTAAAGCAAGACTTCAAACACACACACACACACACCAGAGATCTAGAACTCGAAAACTTAGCAGCTGATGATGTAACCTTCGATTTTCTGGCGGCTTGTAACTCCTGAAACATATTAGTAAGTAGCACATGAACCTTTGGGTGCTGCAATGTAAGTATGCTGTGATATACCCCCGAAGCCCGACTCAAGCTCTTAAGGATCCTGTACAATCCCAAATCACCGAAAGCCAGAACGTCTGCAACAGAAATCGAAGCGCTCCTTTAAGGTATCTGTAAGAGTTGCCGCAAGGGGTCCACAATCATATAAGGGACTTTAAGATTCAGAACAGTAATGTCATGCTATGATCATACTGCCGCTGTTTGAAGGTGGAGTACAAGAAGGATGCACCCTACTTGCACAAGAAGCTTTTTGCCAAGCTCCCCCACAAGCCGGGCGGTTCAGATCGCTTCCTCGCCGCATGTTCACGTGGATGGTGGAGGGTTCTTTGGCTGTTGCAAGCCTCACAGATAGAAAAGAATCTATTTCGGGAGGTCAGAATCTTCATGTTTTTTTGCGGATGAGGTTTGTCTGAAGACACTTACCAATACCAGAAGCCTTCAGCCCGAAGCCCCGGTACGCTGAAGCTGAAAATACTGCAGCTGGAAGCGATTACAACAGTACAGCGGGCTGAATATGTGGCAATAGTGCTCCCTTGTACTACTTTTGCTCCCCAAATGCTTTTTCTATCGCAGAGGCCCCTACATTCGTCCTGTTTGAGTGTCGACAGGGCATGAGGATGAGACGACATCTGCACTGTTGGCGTTGTAACTTCAAAAGGTCGCAATCGCTTAGCACTCACGGAATAAGAAGATTCAAGGCGAGGAGTATGATGATAAGGATGATGCTGATAGTCATGGTGACGCTGATGTTGGTCATGATGATGTCGTTCAATACTTTAAGATGTTGTTGATGATGGTGATCGGGGGCACAAGAGTTCACAAGAAGCTAGACAGACGACCCCACTTCTTCCCTGGCTTGCAGGTCATGCTTACGTCTTGACGCTATAGTCATGGGATCTCAGGTTCAGCTTTCAGCATCTGTAGGACTCAGGGTTTAGGGTTTAGGGTTTAGGCTTTAGGGGTTTAGGGTTTAGGCTCAGGGCTCATACGGCTCAGCCGTAGGAGGTCGGAGCTTGGGACGAGGTGGGCTTCTTGAGTCGCTTCTCTTCAGGGTCCCTGTTCAACGAGGTGCTGGGACTCAGTTACCAGATAGTGGCTCTTTAAAATAACCCTACGCCCTAAACCCTAAGCCTAGATGATTCTGGTAACTTGAATCAAGTTGCTGAACAAGAGCCCAGTAGCTCCTGCAGAGTTGCGAGCATGTCAGGATACTACGTCTCCTGCATGTGGAATCACGACAGGTGGGGCGGGCTATCGAATGCTTCGATGGGGGAAGTTTATGGTTTAGGGTTTGGGGTGATATCGGATCAACAATTATTCAGTCTGCCATCTTGGCTCAGAACCTCAAAGAGGCACCGACTTGAAATTCGAAAGTACGCACGAGGGCCGAGGGCATCAGAGGCCTCAGCAAATCATAACAGTCTTATGGTCCTCAGGGGGGCATTCAGAATAACATCCGCCCTTCGACCTAATATAGGGGCCTTAATAATTCCAATAGGGCTTGGGGGTCTATTCTACCATTATTATAACAAGGAGCCCCAAAAAATAGTATTAGTAATTTACCCTAAACCCTAAACCCTACACCCTAAAACCCTAAAGCCCTAAGCCCTAAACCCATAGTACAGCCCTGCCTGTCCGACGTCACAGTCCCCACATCCCAACTCCCCGAAGGCCCAAACCGGTCCGAAAGAGGGTTTAGGGTTTAGGGTTTAGGTTTAGGTTTAGGGTTTAAGGTTTAGGGTTTAAGGTTTAGGGTTTAAGGTTTAGGGTTTAAGGTTTAGGTTTAGGGTTTAGGTTTAGGGTTTAGGGTTTAGGGTTCTTCTGGCTTCCGACACTCCACTGTGGTTCGGAGACGACACGCGTAGGATGTCCTTCTGACAACGTACCTCTTGCAGCGTATTGAGCATGTAGGGGACCAGTGGGACCAGCATGGGTTATGGTAGTTTATTACAGTATAAACTGATAATATTCGGGTACAGGCGCATTTTTGCGCGGAGGCGTTGGCCG